TCTCCGAGAATAAAAAGAATAAAGAACTATATTTTTTAAAATTCACAAGTGTATATAAACCCTGAATTAACTAATAAAAATAAATATTATTATAGAAATGTATCTACATATATAAAGAAAATATTAATTTTTATCAATTTATAGTGGCAACTCTACTCCAACTAAAGTGTTTCTTAAAGCTGTTTATTTGATGCCTTTTTAAATAAAGCAAATTATTTTTAAATAAAGCAAATGGCAACTTTTCCACAAACTAATACCCACAGTAATGATATACATTTTTGGCACACAGTCTTCATACAGGTGGCAACCACTCTAGCAAATATCTCCGGCAAATAAATCTTTTTAAAAACTACCTAATAATTTTTATGTAATACAATTATTGTTATATGTGTTATAATTAAATTAATTTTTAAAACAGGTGGCAACTCTTTTCAAAATAGTTTCTTGTGTTTTTCGTATATACAGTTTTTTGATACACCATATCCAAACAGATGGCAACCATTCTGAAAAAAATCTCCTATTAAAATTCTGCTTAAAAACGTTTATTTAATGATATTGTAAATAAGCACTTATAATATAAATGATATAAATAAATGTTCGAACAAGTAGCAACACTTTCCAAATATTTTCGGCTGTAAGCACCTGCTTGAAATTATTTAGTTCGATACGCATCTTTAATATATCAATATATTTTTATGAAAAGTATAAAATGTGGCAACCAATCTCAAAAATAGCTGCAACAGATCCCTTTTTTATTATATATATAATATTATTTCATACACAAAAGAACATATACTTATGCACATATCAATAGAATCAGGTTGAAGAAAGTGTTCTAGCACTACATACTTTTTATACTCTCGCAACCTGTTGCTACAGAGTATAATAGTTTTGTTCACCTAACGGTTGTTTGTATCACCTAAAATTAATCGAGTTAGATATAGGGTTATATATATATAAATGATCAGGATGAAGAGACGAGTTGAAATCCGGGTGACTGTCTGTCCGTCCGTCCGTCCGTGCAAGCTCTAACTTGAGTAAAAATTGAGATATCTTTATGAAACTTGGTAGACATGTTTCATGGTACCGTGAGACGGTTGGTTGGAGATGGGCGTAATCGGACCACTGCCACGCCCACAAAACGCCATTAATCAAAAACAAATAACTTGCCATAACTAAGCTCCGCAATAAGATACAAGACTGTTATTTGGTACACAGGATCACATTAGGGAGGGGCATCTGCAGTTAAAATTTTTTTTAAAAAGTGGGCGTGGTCCCGCCTCTAATAGGTTTAATGTGCATATCTCCTAAACCGCGAATGCTATAATAACAAAATTCACTGGAAGCAAATGTTTTTAGCACTTCTATTGGCGGTGTGAAAATAGTTGAAATCGGGTGGCAACTCCGCCCACTCCCCATATAACGGTACTGTTAAAAACTACTAAAAGCGCGATAAATCAAGCACTAAACACGCCAGAGACATTAAATTTTATCTCTGAGATGGTATAAGATGACTTTATAGGAACCGCGTTCAAAATCAGACAGTGGGCGTGGCACAGCCCACTTTTAGGTGAAAACCCATATCTTGAGATCTGCTCAACCGATTTCAACCAAATTCGGTGCATAACGTTCTTTTCATGTTTCTATATCATAGTGCGAAAATGGGCGAAATCGGACTACAACCACGCTTACTTCCCATGTAACACCATTTTCAATTCCATCTGATTCTTTCACATTCCACTATGCAAATCAGGTAAAAATGATTATATCGGGGTAAAACTTTGCGTGAATAATGCAATTAAAGTATGCCACCTTGCGGCCAAAAATTGTCTAAATCGAACCAAAACTGTTCAAACCCCTAAGTACTAAATATGTGGACCCCAGTGCCTATAGTTGACCTTCTACCGAAAATATCAGTCAATCCACAAAGAAATCTCAAACGAGTATACCATTTGACCTTGCGAGAGTATAAAATGTTCGGTTACATCCGAACTTAGCCCTTCCTTACTTGTTTACCTATACATTTGTGAATGTCAATTTTTTTCAAAGTTCAGGATGCCATACAAACAATCTGAAAATTGTTTTTCAAATATCCCAAAACTTAATGACATTTTAAGCACCGTACTCTTTTGAAAAGAAAAAAATAAAAAAGGTATATTGTTATTGTTGCTGTTGTCATCATTGCGTGAACAAACTCAATATATCAGCTACAAAGCTTAAGTTAATGGTAAATGGAAAGAAAAGATTTACGTTTGCATTATTCAATAGCTGTTCAAAGCAAAGCGAATTGAAAAGAAAAGTTCTTAAAGAAGCTTTACGAATATCGGTGAAATGATAAAAGCGGTTTATGCGGCTGACATTTGTATTGAATTGATTTATATGGATTGCGAATGATTTTTGTTTACTTATTATATGTTGAATCCGTCTTCAAAGTAAGAAAGCGCCTTTATCGTTAGATAGCAGATTTGTAAACGCATGTATGAAAGCATTTTGAACTGTGTATAGGAGTAGAGTCAAAGGTGTCATGCTTAATGCGCAAAGAGTAATTGAAGAGTTAGTATACTATATATAGATACATTTTTTTTGTTTGTTCTGAAACAAGCGAATCATGTGTTTATCAGTCATGAAAAAGTGATAGGGAAAAGAAATCTCGAGTTTACATTTAAGAGATTATGTGCCGCAAACGCCATTTACAACGAAATATCGCCATTCATAAAGCAAGCAGCACATGCCTTACAAGTTTTACTCCTAGTATGCAACAACTATAGAGAAAAAATTTAAATTTAAATTAAATATATATATATCTCGTAAGTACTGCTAAGAATTGAAAACAACACAATTTTGTTCAATACACATTTTGTAAGACCAATATTTATTCTTATTCGATTATTTTTTTGGATATGCAGTGTGGAGCCAACAGTCTCGTATCAAGCGAACCTAACCTTTTTCTTTTTGACAAAAAAATCGATTGGGGGTGATAGAAGAAGTCCTATTTAACGAAACTCAATCAAAAGCGCTTTCAAATAGGGATCTTTCACGCCCCGAAAATATTGCTCCCTTAATATGTCTCGTTGGAGGTACTGAAGACAGCTCGAGGCCTACGAAAGCATACAGAAAATTGGGATCACCATTTGTATTTTTATATTGACACAGGCGTACACATATTAAAAGAGGTTTTGAAGAGTTATCAACTTTAATCAGATGGTAAATGTTTAGGCTTGAAATATGGTTATTAAAAAAAAAATATTATTATATGTTCGAAGTCCGAAAAAATACAATAATACTGATGAACCAAACATACAAGATATCAAAAAGCTGGCAAGAATAAACAATTTCAATAAATTTCGATTTTAAATTACAACAAGAAGTAGATAAGAGATTTGAGAAATTTTTAGATTATATCGGAGCTCTTTAGAGAAAAATTATCTTTGCATATGTCTAACCTTCAACAGGTTGAGACTAGATATCTTTCATGGTTCCAAATTTCCTAATCGATAACGAAGTCTTATTCTTTCTCCCTTTTGAAAGTATAACATCCGCCTGTTGCTGTGAAATGATACTCAATTTCTCAGAATATCATCTTTTCGCACATTTCTCATACTTGTTGACATCAAATTATGTGCTTAAGCAAATATTCGAAGACAACCCACTCGTAATTGCTAAGCTTATTTGTACGCTCATTCAATTTTATGGCGCATTACGCGCTCGCAGCGTGTCACGGAGTTGTTTATCCCGTGTAAATGAGAAGGTAATCTCCTGAAATCTAAGTAAATATAATTTGAGAACACAATTTTATTTTGTAATAAATGTTTGTTAAGCCGATAAACATTTATCTGAGTGAAATATGGGAAGCACGAATGATGTTATGACTAATATTATTTTCTATTCTTTACTAGAAATACTTTTTAAACATATTTATCACTCATGATATAACTGATATATTATATTCATATCAGATACTGTGGAATCGACATACTTTCGTGCTTCTCTAAACTTCAAGCTTTTGAAGATTTAAATCGACTTAGAATTTTCACAACACGGTTTTAGATATAGATTTGTCAGATAATAATCGAAAGAATAAGATTTTCAATACCGTTTCGATTTTTAAGGCACTCTGAAGTGTAAATTTTTTCAAAACAAAAAAAACCTTTTTTTGGTAAGCCACCATTTAGTCAAAAATCAAAATTTTTAGTTTTGCATCCATCAATACTTTTAGTTATAAGACATTTTTGTGGTCTTGGGATTTTAGATAATTTGAAGCAGAAAATTCTTCTGATTTTCGCATGTCCTTTTGGAGGTTTGCTACGTGATCAAGGAAATCCAAATTTTTTTTTAAATGAATCGACGATTAATAAAGTACTTTGAATTCGGTAAACGTAGTCAGACGTCAGACAGGACGTCAACGCTTTTTGCGAACATTAAGAGAAGAATTTAGATATTTCATCTAGTCGGTTGAATTGCCATTTGCCCAAAAACTCTCCTGCAGTCCATTCGGGACCGTTTGAGTAGAAAACATGTGTGTTTTTCTTGGGGCTCTTGTACATGACCTTAGCGATCGACCATGTCCTGTCTGTCAGTCCTTTTGAAAATTTCATTGCATATCGTTTTTACTGATTTCCGTATTCCCTGTGCTGATTCGATAGCCAGACGGATGGCACTAAAAATTACATCGTCTAGCAGAATTAATTTAACTGCTCACTCGGATTAATGTCAAAACTTTTGGTAAGATTTCCCATTTTTCTCTGACTTACTGTGCTTCAAGCTCTCTTAAGTTATATAAGGAAGCATGATCTCACTGTAGTCTTCAGTTATCTTTAAAGAGAAAAATTTAACCATGATATGTTTCGGTAGTTAGCTCTTCTCTTGTTATTGACTCGAAATTTTGATTTTGTCGTACATTACCTTTAGATATTATACGGTTGTAAATTTTCGCATGACAATAAAAAATATACCTGACGTTTTTAAAATTTACGCATAAATATTTTCTTTTTTTCTTACAGCTTAAGTAATTAAAGTCAACATATTTTTTACACCTTCAAATCAATGGTTTTACTTGCCTAAATACCTCCACCAATCAAGTAAGTGTCTATTAATATTTAAATAGTTTAAATTAATTGTATTTCTCATTTACTTTGGTTATTTATGAGTGTGAGCGTCAGCATTCTGTGGAATTTGTGGTACTCGATAGTACATATAATTAATAACACAATTCAATTAGTGTGGCTTTAAAAGCTTAATGGGAAAAATCAGAGTTGAGCTTTATGCGAAAGTGTGAAAGGTGCATGTCAGTTAAATACAATAAAATACTTGTATATTTAAAGGAAACCGCAATTAATTTAAATATTATGGATGCCATTTTAGCGCAATATAATCTAATTATGTCACGCCTGGCACTGCACTTTGCATTTGACAGTTTCATTCCTTTGAATTATGATGAGTAAATCGCATGCTATATATTAGGTTATGTGCGGAATGAAGGATGAGTCCCTAAGCGGATATCACACTTCTACTGGTGTTGACAAGCCATTTAAGAGATTAAAAATTCATACCAATGGTTCTAAAGACTCATGTACTATAGCCAATACATCTTCAATCCAGCAAAAATTCACTTTGCGACTAGTTCCGAAATGGTGTTTCAACCTTACTATTACAATACTTTTAGTTGCACCTTATGGACGGCCATTGTACAAAAGTGGGTTACAATCACAGAAACAAACCAATGTCACATCTAGCTCTTTATTTCGGATCATAAAGTAGGTTTTGGGATAAACTAAAACAAGAAAAGAAAAAACGTACTTGAAATGGATTTGGTTTGGTCAGTTTGTATGACAGATATACAAGTATGTTATAGTTCTTCAATCTAAATAGTATGTTAGGAGATTTGATCGATCAGCTTATATGTCAGCTATATCTTATACTAGTCCGAATCAAGCGGGACTAATTCCCGTTCATACATACTTACAAATGGATAGACAGACTGACATGGCCAAATCGACTCAGCTCGTCATGCTGATCATTTACAAAGGGGGGCGCACGAATCGTGCTACAAAAACAAACTGTTATAATTTTTCCTCTGTGTGAGTAACGGATTTAAATTTTTTTTGTTCGACAGGTTATTATATTATATATATTTTTTAATTTTAATGCTTGTGATACCGGGCTCTAACGAAAATTTTAAAACAAATTAGGAGGTACACAAAACAAAACCCAGAAATCTGACTGAATTGGCTGAGCATGAAGGTCATTTACGGTCCATTATTTTTAAAAATAATTAATTATATCAAATACAGTAAAATCTTCTATACAATAAAAACGATATGCAACGTATTGATTTAAAAAAAAGCTTGACATCTTAGTTATTTAAGTTGTTAAGATTGAAAACCTGAAACGAAAAATATACCTAGGTAGCTGTAGAAAAGTGCTTTATTGTAACTAAAACTTATAACATCAGCTAAGCTGCCTAGAGTTAAATTGGATCTAAAACCCTAATTAGAGATGTTACAATATATATCATACGAACTTTTAACGGAATATATTAATATATTCCAGGCCCTTCGTGTATTGCATGAGATAGTCGTTATCGATTGATACCAAAAATACTAACACCTAACAAAACGAGGAATTTATTATGTTTTATAGGTTAGCGTGGTATATAGTACAAATAAATATGTATATAAAAGCATGTCCCTATCATTAACCCACTGCCCTAATTCCCTTCACCACAAATAGTTGCTAGGCATAGGTCACATGTTGCTTCCTCGAGGCAAATCGTGTCACGCAATTGAAGGAAAGAGCACAAGAAAATAAAGGTTTATGTTAAAAAAGTGAATTTTTGCTCCTCAAACGGCAACGGTTAATGGCTCTCTTTTCTAACATAGCATATTAATTCTGCGTGGTATAGAAAATTAAGTGTGGAAAGCAGACTGAAAGAACATGTGCACAATGAAAGGACTATGCACAGAGTTATATGCATTTAAGGAAGGCTCGATGGAAAAACTGTCTTCAAGCGATTTCTAATATTATAATGTATAAATGATAATGCGACCTTAACATTTTTTTTGTTGTATAAATTACAATATGTAAATGTGTATATACATATGTATGTATGTGTCTATAAGAAAATACAATTTGCTAGCGCGCTTGTAATTGTTGTGTTTAGTTGGCATGACAGCAATTGGAGAAACATTTTGTATGCTCCGAAAGCAGGTTAACCTCAACAATGCGTGAGTAAATAGAACACAACATTTCTAATTACATACATATGTATATGAGCTATGTGTAGATAAGTAAGTGTATTAATGTTATTCACTGTTAATATATATGCTTAACCTTTTTAACTTTAACTCTTCTTTTTAAAAATATGTATATTTTAACAATTATTAGCCATGACAACTGTCTGATTTTATTTCAGACGTACTACTCCAAACCCGACTCAGCAGTTTTGCTTTAGGCGAATTGATATTTCTAAAATTGAAAATCTAGTCAAGTATAACTCTTTTCAACAGTGTTGCCTTTTTAATCAAATCTCTATGACAGTATTCTCACTATGTATAGTTTTATATAATATTTGGTAAGAGAAAAGAGAGCGCGAATGTGAATTGATTGCACCCAATTTATATTATGTCTAAGGTTTTTTGAAGTTTTCGTAACTCCTTGGCGCATATCTATATTTTAGAGATAATCATACAGCTCATCAATTCATACAGCTCGAGCGCTTAACTCCCCAAATAGTTTCTTAGATGAAATCTTTTACTAATCCCTTAATCGTTCTAAAGAAACCTGATCTGATATCCAAGTAAGAGATACAAAAAATAGAACAAACAAAAAAAAAATAAAGAAGGATACGGTGAAACTACTTCTACAACAGAAATGGCGAGAAAACTCGAACAAAACAATAAGAAAAAGATTCACATACAAAATTGCGACAGTCTCAGACTCATTTCTATTAAGAATGTTGCAAAAATCTGCTGCTCCTAAACCGATTCTCATAAAATTTCGGAGTAGTAAATTACTTAGGAGAACTTTTTATTTTATCATTCTCTCTTGATTTTTCATAAGAGTTTCAGTTTTAGGGAGAGGTTTGCGGTTAAAGCTTCGAAGTCGAATTCAATATACACTTTTACCATGGAAGGGTTAAAACGTAAGACTTAATTGTGATTGTTTAGTTTGTATGGCACTATAGTAAATCGATATCGGCAAAAAAGAACGTGTGCAAAATTTCAGCGCGACATCTCAAAAGCTGAGGACCTAGTTCGTGGATATGCAGACAGACGAACGGTGAAATAATAGACATGACTTAACCAACTCAGCTCGTCACGCTGATCAATTATATATGGTATATATTTTATAGAGTATTTGACGTTTCCTTCTGTGTGTTACAAACTTCGTGGCAAACTTAATGAAACTAACTAATTACACACGTTCACTTGAACAAAGTACAAGCAATTGTGAAGAATCTTTAAATTATAACCTACATTTGCGTGCATATAGCATATAAAACTTTTCGGCGTAATTTTGCAAGGAAATAGGTAATGTACTAGATTTTATGTGAAGAAAACTTCAAAAAGTTTTGCTTTTCTCGAAAAGCAATGCATCTATACAATTTACTTCTTACGCAAATAAATAGTGTACATATATTATGTACCGTTATGTTTGTATCGGCTTGAAAGTGTTACTACAACATGTTCTACTTGCATGTAAGCAGCTGAAACTGTAAAAACCTGTAAACTGCAAAATTTTCTTGTTAACTAAAATAGTTTTACTTCACTTCACTTCACTTATTCGCATTCGTCGCTCCTCAAGTTGGCTTTCGGAAACAATGTACGAGCCGAACAAAGTTAATAGCTCAAAGTATGTGTTGAGAAATTTTTTTTATTTTTGTACTTGCCGGCAGCTGCAGCAGGAAATTGAAGGAAAGTTTAACTTCAACTAGTTTTGCGGCCGGAAATTTATTAAATTTCAATTTTGAGTGAAGGAAAGCGAGATCACATTTGTAGCTCTCTTGACATTCGAACTCCTGGAACACTTAAAATTTCAATCTTCTACAGTAACAGATAAAGTTCAGACCCCAAACTCTATAAGTTAAAGTCTATGTGGACTAAAGAGCTAATGAGTTCGCCAACAACATTCTTTAATGTTCTCAACCTTGGATTCCTGTGACATTTCAACATTTTAAACCAACTTGGCATAGTTTGAAACCAAATTCTTCAAGTTGAGGTCTATGTAGCCGAGCGCTTCAAACATATAGAGATACCAAACAAAGTTTAGAAATAAAATTGCCCGAGTCGAATTATCCAAAAATGAACGAATTAAATGTATAGATGTCTTCTAAATTATTTACGGATTTGGTATTGCTTCGTTCTGCGGTTTATGGTTCATTACATTTCATGGTCATTTGTTTTCGCTTTATTTGTATACTATGTGCCCTCTCCCAGCAACCATTTTTCAAAACTTCTTGCACATAAACACAAAAACTGAGTTGCTTTTATACCCTAAAAAGGGTAAATGAAATTTGCCGAATAGTTTGTAATACCCAGAAGGAAACACCCTAAAAATATATACATAAATGATTAGCATAATGAGCTGAGTTGATTAGGCTTTCCTCACTAAGTAGCTACTCATTTGTCGAAACTACTGATATGTGACAACTATAGCATATAACTGCCATACAAACTGAACAATCGGAATCAAGCGCTTGTATGGGAAAATTTTTTATTTGAAGAAATATATTTACTAAATTGAATCGGAATCAAGTTCTAGTATGGAACCTTTGTATTTGTCAAGGGTATTATAGCTTTGGTGCAACAGAAGTTAACGTTTTTTCTTATTTCAGCTTAAGATCGGCAAGCAATTTATGTTGCATATCAACATAGTGATGCCTCATAAATTTCTCAGAGAGTGGAACTCCTGGTGTGTGTGTGATTGATGGATTTTGTATCGATATGTCAAAATCGTGCTGTTTTTTGCTTTTCAAAACCAATATTTCCAGACCATGCATGGCCCAGCACGGCGCACACTTGAATGTACAATTTCCGCCAAGTGCACGGTCACGAGGTTACGCATCCCGATACGCTGACTT